CGACACGAGAGAGAGAGAGAGAGAGAGAGAGAAAGAGCAATAAGATGAGAGAGTGGGGCTGGAGAAGAGAGAAGATCAAAAGAGAGAAAGGCTAGGGAATTGTGTAGAGAATGAAGGGAGATCCTCAACCCTTTAGGTATGCCGAACCAATTATGACTCACCTTGATTAATAGGAATATAGGAAACCTGGGAGGTGAGAGACAATTAAATCTGAGGCATTTATCTTATAAATTAGTAATCATGATTGAGGGAGGAATATTTGGAACTTTATCCCCTTAAACTTTGACCCATATCCGCTTTACTTCTAATTAGGATAAGCCCAATCTCAAAACCTTTTAGAACTTCCTTTTTTATCTCTTTAAAATTGTAGGGAGTCAAAATAATATATTTTTGGTAAAAAAAGACTCCCACAAAATAAGCACACAATCTTTTCTTTTTAAAAGATTATCTAACTAACTTCAAATCATCTTTTAATTAAAATATAACTTAAAGATGAGTGAGGAGGGGGGCAACCCTCCCCATGTGGGAGGTGTGGGTCCACCATGGGCTCCACACCCCACCCATCTGGTGTGGCACACATGTGAGGCTGGATCCAAGGGTCCCATGTGCACCTACACACAATAAAAATTTCATAAATACACTTTCTATAGATTTTACAGAAGATATAAATTTAAAAAAATCTAAAACTTCTAAAATTCACAGAAATATTTTTAATACTGAAAATAAAACATCTAGAAGAAGACAAGTACCAATGGGTCAAAAATAAGTGACTATAAGGCACTCCACTCGACCTAGTGATCGTGATTCACAATTGTCTTCTCAAACCGACCCAACAAGAACTATGACCCACAATCACATGCAAGGGCTCATGATTGGCTAATCAAAGCTAACCAATAAACAATGAAACCATGATCTCGGAAGGCGGATTACAATTCCCCCAACCCCCCGTTAAGAGCAAGTCAAACACACATTACGATGGTGCAAGGAGGACAGTCTCTATGCAAATGTACACATATCACTTTTCAGGGTTGCTTCCCAGTCATGCAATTTTCATGTAAATGCCGTGCGAAAATTTATTGAGGTTTTAGCCCTCGCTCTCACAAGCCTACATGCGCATACAAGAAACCAAAACAGCTTTCGTGATGACATATCATCCCTGGGTATCTCTCCGACCTCAAAAAGGGATGACCCTCTATAAACCCTTTACAGTAGTGCCACATGCTCAGGAATTAGGGTTTTGGACATGACCAAGGCCATAGAACACTTATTCAAGGTAATATGTTAACACCTCATCTCCCCTCCACGCTAGAACCTGGTGAAGCCGCAAACCTATCTCCTGAGCCTTGGGATTGCACCAAGCTAGGTGAGGCAAGGCGAATTTTAATACCCTAAGAGACAGCTCAAACAAAGAGTCCTACTTTGTGCACTCCTAATATATCACTCACATGCATCGTGCCAAATCAAGCAGAGACATCAACCTTTTGCTTTGGACGATTGGTTTCAAATTAAAGGGTCCTACAGGTGATATCAGTAACATTATGAGAAAAACTGCCAGTAGGAAAAGCAAGAGCTGGAGAGAGATGCATAACCCCTCTTGAAGCATAAGCTATGACAAATCAGAGGGTATCCCTATGCTTTCTGGTTCATACTTGTTCAGCCTGGATGAGAATTGCAGGATCCATTCTTAGTCGATGCCACCACTCTTCTTACCCCCTCCCTCAAATGAGAGCAGTGTGCCTCATCATCTCAGAGGTTTCACAACAACCAAATTAGGAACCGCAGGTCTTTTATACATCCACAATGTTTGGGGTAGGAGATTCTGTCAGTGAGAGCCCATCCCTTCCCAGGGTGTCTCTGGTGATTGGTGGGTTATAGGAGACCCTGTAGTCACTCCAAATTGTAGACACGACGTACCCTACTCCATCAACCTCGTACCATGGCAAGTAGCAAACAATTTGAACGGAAGCTAACTTCTGCATGTGGCCCCAACAGGCCAGCACTTAGTCCAGAATTATTGGCTAAGCTTGACTATATAGCTCCTTTAGACCCCAAAAAGGGTGCCTCGGAAGTGATTTCATTCTCACTATATGTAGGTATGAGAAGAACACAGGTGGACGCATTACACAAGCATCATGGGCTTTTGACTTTGTCTACAGGCATGATTTCATAGACCTTCCCCTCCGGGGGGCCTCTGGTCACCCGGTGTAACATAGGGTCTTGAGATTACACAAGTATCATGGGCTTTTGACTTTGTCTCTAAGGAATGATTTCATAGACCCGATGAAATAGAGTCCATGGATCGTGCCGAGAATACTAGGATGCTCTCTCCTCCAGAAAGGAACCTTAGAATGTAAGTGAATCCGAATTTAATAAGTGCTCCAAAAAACAACTTTACAGGTTTCAGAGATATAGGATCAAGTGGCTACAAAGAGCAACCATGCCATTCCTTTTTCCAGAAAATTGCCAGTTTTAGAAGCTAGAAAACTATACTTCAAATTAATGATGGGGGGAAGACCTTACTCTAAGCCAATACAAGTTAACAATGCTTTCAATCGAAATTCCAAGGAACTTTTCACAGCTCAAATTGGGCTCACAAACTTAAACTTTAGTATTCTGTGGATCGGACTTGTGTTCTTGGGGAGGCCCTCTTCAGAGGTAGAGATCAGAAGAGCAATTTTGGACCTAGGACAGGATGAAGCCCCTGGCCTGGATCGATTCTGGAGAGCCTTATTCCATCTGTTTTGGGAATGACTAGCCCCAGATATCTTGGCTTTCTTCTCCGAACTTTACTACCAAGGAATTATTTATAAAGGCATGAATTCCACTCTCGTTGCCGCAGTCCCCAAGATTGAAGGGGCTCCGCAAATCAAAGATTTCCAACCCTTCATCCACGTAAACAGTAACTATGATATCTTGTCTAAGGTACTATTTACCCGACTTCGGGTAGTGCTAGACTCAGTAATGTTCCCCATGAATATGCCTTTATTAAAAATCAATATCCTGGATGGGGCTCTAATTGCTCATAAATGCATTCACTCTAGACATCAATCAAAGCCCACAAGGAAAGTGTTGAAGCTAGATTGGATAAAAGCTTATGATCACATTTATAGGTTGATCTTGGACAGCATCCTCCAGCGCATTGGAATAGGTGATCTTGGAGTTCAGGCTGCCTCTCATCCCCCTTTACCTCTATTTCAATTAATTGTAGCTCTCAAGGTAAGGGAGGCAATGGTTCAGTCCTGGGGCCCTGGCCCAGCCCTTGTCCCCATAGGCCCGGCTCTCGCCTTGTTAGGGCCGGGGCCGGGACGGGCCAAAAAAAATGAAGAAAAACTAAAAGAAAAAAGGAAAAAAAAAAAAACCGGGGGGCAAGGGCAGGGCTGGCAGCACTAACCCTAGCCCAGCCCTATTTTTTAGGGCTGGCTGACTGGGCCGAGCCGGGCCACCCAGTCCATTACCAGCTCTAACCGCTACTTCCCTACCTTTGGGGCTCTCTGCCAAGGAGATCCACTAAAGCCTTCCTCTTAGCAATTATGGCCGTGGTTTTCAGTACAACTGTATGACCACAACTGCCTCCAAGGATTCAAATCATCAAGTAGAGACCCCTCTATCTCCCATCTACAATATGTAGATGACACGTTAGATTTTCTGATGTGCTCCCTAAGCAAGCTGATCCTCGATCACTATTCATGTCCATTTTCAAGCTTGCTATGGCCTCAAAGTTAACATGCACAAAACTACCCCATGGGCATTGGCATTGATGACCATACCAACCTAGCTAAGAAGATTGGTTGTGGGGTCAACAAATACACTGCAAATAGCTTGGTTTGGCCTTGTGCTTAAGAAGGCCCACGAAAAAACAGTGAGATGTAGCAATTGAAAGATTCAAGAGACGCCTGGTCTCTTAGGCTTTTTTTCTGTGGGTGGTACACATACCCTCATCAAGGCTACTAAGCTTTATAGTATACCAGTTTTCAACCCCTCTCTCGTCCGAATGCCTATGATGATAGTAAAAAAAGTTGAAGTGCTTAATGAGGGACTTTCTTTGATCAGGCTTGAAGCGAAAACAAATTTTACCTAGTTAATTGGGCCATGGTCTGCAAACCCAAACTGCTGGGGCCCTGGCGATTAGGTCTTCAAAAGGATATGACACAGCTCTGTTAAGCAAGTGCCTTCGCACTTCGCCACCCCAGAGAATCACTTACGGATGCTTGTGATTGCACCAAAATAAGGCCTTAATGAGTCAGGTTGGCTACTTGAGGGGTTCCATAACTCTTGAATCTTGGGAGCTTGGAATGGTGTTCGTCAGATTACACCCCTTTCACTAAGAAGACAAGGTTTCCACCCAAATCAGGGACTGGGGTGCACCTCTGGAACGACTTTTGGGTTCTGAATTGGACCGAAAAATTCAGTTCCCCTCTCTATTTCATGTGGCTATGGATCAGGACTGTGGCATCTCGGATTGCTTCAAATTTTTGGTGGCCATCTGGTTGGTCCCGTACTTTCAGGATGAATTTCTCCAATGACAAGGGCCCTGGTTTTGTTTCCCTGATTAACTCTCTTCACTCTTTATATACCCCTGGCCATGGATGTGATAAATTTAGTGGATCCCTTCCACATGGGGCTTCTTCTCAATCCTCTTTCTAACAAGAGCTTCGGCATGAAAACACCCAACCCTCTGTTGCTCACAAGGCTTGGCTTGCCCCAGACCATCCAAAGATCCAAAACTTTTCAATCGGTTGGCCATTCACAAAAATATGCTCTGTCGACCATTTCCAAAGGCGTCGCCTTTCCATGCTGAATCAATGCATCATGTGCAAGGCCAACAAAAAATCAGTTGACTATATTTTCCTTCATTACCTTACATTACTCAATTTTGAAGTTCACTTCTAAAGCTTTTTGGCCTGGAATGGGTAGTATCGGAGTACATTCAACGACTGTTTTCTACCTTCTTTGCTACTCCTTTCCCTCCTTGGGCCACACTCCGGACGATCTCAGCATTAGTAATCCTATGGAACGTCTGGCTCAAATGTAAAAGAAGAGTGTTCAAAGGCATTGTTAGATCGCTGAGGCTTTTTTAACAATATAATTGTCAGTGCAATTGGGCGGGGAGCACTGTGGAAAGGTTTCAAAGACCTCGCTGCCTCAGCTTTCTTACGGGACCTTAATCAGGTCAAGTAAGAACCAGCCCAATCGATCCTCCCCCTGGGTCGCTCCTGAAAGTGGCAACATCAAATCCCTCGGCAACCCAGGTACTTCAGGAATAGGGGGACTGTTCAGAGATAGCCAGGAAAATACACATTTATCTTTCATGGGTACGGCATGCTGTGTCAGTTCAAACATGCTGAAGCACCCAACCCTTCTTTAAGGAAACAACTGTTTGATCACAGTTGGGGATCGAACCTTGTGGTTGAGGATGATTGAAGACCATTAATTGGGCTACAAATAGTTGTACCTGCCCATGGATACTGGAACAGATATTTGCACAAATTTGCAACCTTAGCTAACCAACGCAGATCTCTTTTCGCCATGTATGGTGCGAAGAAGATAACATCATGGATAGCTTGGCCAAAGGAACTCTTGAGGCATGCCTTGTTCCCAACCGACCCTAGGATACCTGGTACCTCTCTTATTTTATTTCTGTGTTGCTCATGGCCAACTTTTAAGTGACTTGCTCTTTTCTTTTCTTGTGGAATTTTATTGATGCGTGAAGTTTTATTTTAATTCAGCACTTCAACAGTAAATTTAAATATCTTATATAATATATATTACATTCAACTTTATCAAAAGAGAAGAACAAGAATATGAATGACTAGAATACCCATTTGGATACTTACAACGATGACATATGACATATAGTCAGAAAGCCAAATGAATTTATGTGCCCCTGAGACACTCAACACTTCTGAAAACATCTCGTTTCCAAGAAATAAAGTTTGTATCATTTTAGATTCAAGTTTAATCTGAATTTTCATATTCACCAAAAGGTCTATTTTACTGTAAATACATTGCCAGTTATGGTGTTAATCTGGCTACTCTGAGGGTTGGCGTTTGTTTCCTTAGGAGACTGCATCCCATAATTTTTTTATCCAATGTATTTATGAAAGAACATTGTGCCATCATTGCTAATACTATCATGTTTTAAACACTTTTACCAGATAACATATGTAACTAATACAAGATACTAAACTGAACGACTGAGGATTAGTGAGCTATTCACATTTAGTATCTTTCAAGCACACAAACTACAAAATGACAAATATAATCAGAATAAAACTGCAAACAAGGAAAGTTGCCATGTAGAGATGGGTGAAAAGTCATTTAAGCAAAGCGTCTAAATAGACTAACCTTCCCTTGCAAATGCCCAATTTTATCATATGTGAATGAATACTCTGCCTCAAGTATCTCCCGTTCAAATTCAACTCCTCTCGACATTTCCAACTATTAAAGCCATTCAAGAGACAACAATGTGGAACACAATTCAGGAGAAACATAAGCATCTTTCACTATAAATGCTGGAAATATGACAGTGCTATTTCAACAAAGGGAACAGGAAATAAGCCTTCCTAATGCTAGACATGGATATTAACCATCAGAAAAATACATGCATCAGTTACCTCATTTAAAGATGATATATTCTGGTTAATATTTGATGTCCTCCTCTTGAGTTCTGCAAACAAGAACCAGCAACTACGATCAAACAAATGTAGGAGCATGCATAGATAATCTGATCTCGACGCAAGTGAAATGTCCTCAACAGTAAACCATCAAGCATTAAATTTTGAAAGACATAACTGCAAACCAGACTCCAAAGGTGAATGCCATGTAACTTCTCACACATGATCAGGTGCATATTTGTTTTCACAAATATAACCAGGTAAATAGGATATCAATCAAACTATTTGAACTATAGTATGGTAGTCAATCAATCACTTACGAATCAAAATTGAACTATAGTGAAGCATGCAATTTCAAAAGTAAGAACAAATAATGAAAAGTATAGTTCAATATGCCTCAAACTTGAGAGCTCACATTACTCTAGCTACAAATGCATAGACCAATCCAAGATAATCAATACTTGGCTTGACAATGGTTGGTGAATTTAATAGTCACAACAGATAAAGCAAAAGATGCCATGCTCGTTGCCAGAATAAGTTCTTGCCAAGAAGGGCAGATCTTTGCAAAAGAAGAGAACATTAGAGGGTTCCCCATCAGTCTGTGGTTGCAGAACAGTGGGGGCATGCCTACACTAATAAAGGAAGAGCCCTAGCACGCTTTGCCCGGTTGTGTGTGTGTATGCGTGTTTGAGAGAGAAAGAGAACAGGGCGAGAGGTTTTGTTAGAGATTGGGAATATGAAAGAGAGAGAGTATGCAGAGCAGCCACAAAGAAAATTGGGGGGGTTTTGTCACAAGGTTAAAGTAATTTGCATTAACCATGAATTGTAGCTCCACAAGTGGAGAGCATAACTCAAGCAATTTTCAAGCAACTATAAATTTACTTGTAGGTTATGGATATTGGGGTTTGCAGATTTATAAGCTGTGAGAGCATATAAATATCATTTATAGTGGATTATACACTTCAATGAGAGTGTGTGATGGTTGACTGACCAAGGGCTAGGCAATCTATGGCCCTGATCATGTCCAAAACCCTTACCCCTAGGCATATGGCACTACTGAAAAAGGTTTACAGAGGGTCATCACTTGCAAAAGTCGGAGAAAAGCTCAATGATGGATTGTAGGCCAGAAGAGTTGTGTGGCCTCCTATAGATGTAGGTCTATGAAAGCGAGGGCTAAATTCTCCACAAACTTCCACACAATATGTACATACGCAATATTCAATAAGGCAGAGGCGGACGCCCAAACCGAAAAAACAGGTTTTTTTTTTTTAAAAAAAAATTTGGATCCCCCACACCTCCCCCCATTTTATGATATATTATTCAATAAGTAAATTTTGCATGTAATATATTGTTAAGTTGCCAGAAGCACAGATCAAACCTAAACATTTACAACTTCAGATTGTAAATGAAAGAATTATAACTCAAAATGAACATTAAAAGATAAAATGAACTCGAGATGTCATTTAAATCTCGCAAATCAAAAGCCACACATGCAATTATTTAAAAAGCTATAAGCATTAATTAAGAAAATATTAAACTAACGAATAAAAGAATTATGCTTTATGAATCATATATCAAGAAAACACATTGCACATACAATTATTTAATAAAGAATTAAGAATTAAGCAAGTATTAAACTAACTAATAAATTAATAATCCAAGATTCCAAATAGAAAATAACATATCAAATATATATCACAAAGTATCAAAGAAAAAATACAAATAGCAAAAAATAACATCATTAGACATTAAGGGAAAAATACAAAACCTAATGAAAACTATTGAAATATACCAATCTTCTTGAAGTGGACTCGATTTCGGGCCAAACCGAAATGTTTGGGATCCCAAATCTCCTCTTTTACAACCCCTAGATATTATATTTTTAGAACCCCAAATCTCCTCTTTTACAACCCCAAATCTCCTCTTTTACTAGCATGCCCATAGGTTCTAAAGGGATCTTCAAACCCTAATTGTGTTTATGCTCTCTAAAACCCTAGTTTTGTGAGGTGTTGCCTAGGGAAGCTTCCTGTCTCTGAAAATTGAGCAAGGCCAATAAGATCAACGTGTACCACCAGGTAAGAATCGGGTATGGGGTGCACTAAGTCCCATGGGGGCCCATGGGGGTGACCCCAAGGCACATTCAAGCAAGTCTTCCTAGCTATTATCTTTTCTTCTTCAATCATATTTGCATATTTTCTTGAATTTTCAGGAACATTATTTGTATTGAAATCTTTAGTGAAAGCTTGGCTTTTTATTCCCGGATTGAGTTTGTTCAATTTTGTAGCAAAAGCAAAGGCCGGTTGTATTTAGGGTCTTAATTTTCCTTTACAGCAGTGTATAGTGGCACATGTAAGTGGAATTCAGCTTTACTAATATAAGTAAAAAACGAAAATTTTATTGCCTTGAATTCCACATAGCCACTGCTTTCAATCATCATCATCTAAATTATTCCAATTATTTGGAATCAGCTAGCCCCTTCTTTCAATGGCAACAATAAATTTTATTTGTAGGTTATGTTCATATGCATCTATTCATATTATATTTTCTAAGTGTTTTTGTAATGTGCAACCATATGCACACAACAAAGGAAGGAATAGGTTTTAGACAAGACCCGAAAATTGTGTACATATAATGGGAAGGGAAGTAAAGAAAGCTGCAAAGAAATAACCCTTGATCTGCGAAGTATCATAGCAAATGATCAAATCATAAGAGTTAACAATAAGAGGGTCGATAACAACTAGGGTTGCAAACGAGTTAGGTCAACCCTGACCCCGCAGTGTCTAGGCAAGGTCCCGGTTGATTGGACCCTGACCAAGACCCAACCTGCTGGGTCAATTTAGATTATATATAATATAATTATAACGGGTGGGTCCTTGCCGAGTTGGAGACCAAACCGGATCTGGATTGTGGGTCCAGGACCTATAACTAGGTTGGGTTAGCCTGACCCGATTCGCACCCCTAATAACAATGTAGGACAAATATCCCAACAGCCTATTCCATGGAGACAAGAGAGAAAGAAGAAATAAAGAATGTAAACTCATAGGTAATTTTTTTATCTAAGGTCCTGTTTATATCTATGGATGTCATTAAATAAGCTGCTATGGTCATTGAGTCTCACTAAAGGGCAATCTTCAATATATGCAAACAAATGAGAAACCAAACCTTCAGACTCCACATTAAGTGTCGTTTTCTTCCTCTTGAGGTAGTATCAAGGGAATCATACAAGGTATGAAACATAAAAAATTTAAAAACCTCTTATACAAATTTTCATTTCACCTTGGGAAAACCCTTTCTTACAACAAATTGTGTCAACCAAACTACAACTCTTCAACAACAACAATGCCCTTATAAATTAAGCATTGCTTTATACAACTCAAATGAAATAAATTACATCATTGTCAAGATAAAAGAAACAATGTGCATGAGCTTAAAGTATCCAATGGGAAGCCGATTTCGAAGTGATTACCATGTGAACACCGCAACAATATAGTTACAACCCTTGACTATCACTCACTCTTGATAGCCCAAGACGGGTCAGATTTCGATCTAAACTTAGGAAGCAAATAAATCACAACGTGAATTAAATGTCTTTCATATAAAAGAGTCCAAAATAGAGGTGATATGGACATGGGACCACCGAGCCAAAATGGGGGAGAAAATGGACTCCAAACAAGCTCCAAATGGTGTAGTCTTGGCTCAAAGGTCTAGTACAAACTACCAAACAATTCTGGGGTCAAAAGGGAAGAGCTAGGTGTATGGAATAAACTTAATGCTCATTTCATTTCCAGCAGCATGAAAGACACAACAGTTTGCATTCAATACTTTAGAAAATGCACCAACTAAAAGCACAAGATCAACGGAGAACTAAAGACTAACACTCAAGAGACGATGGGAGCATTTACCTCACTGTTATGATGAATTTCCAGCAGCTTTAAAGATCATAACAGTAGCCTATGAATAATGGAAATGGCGTGTAAAGGTTTCAATGGACACACTTATATCATAAGTAAAATGTGATGACCTAAAAATATATATATCTAAAATAAAAATATATATATAATATATAATAATTAAATAAATAAATAAATAAAAATTTATATACATGAATGACTTTAAATGATGGTCCATTGTGTTATGACACACTATGAGAACATCATTATTGTAGCATCAAAGAGTCGAGAGGAGCATGAGCAGCATCTGAGAGAAGTGCTTCAGACTCTGAAATCAAAAATGTTATATGTCAAATTAAGCAAGAGTGAATTTTGGCTTTCTAGTGTGACCTTTCTTGGGCACATTGTTTCTACAGATGGAATCGCAGTCGATCCTTCTAAGATTGAGGCCGTGATCAAGTGGGAAAAACCGACAAACGCTACAGAAGTCCGTAGTTTCCTGGGATTAGCAGGATATTACAGGTGCTTCGTAGAAAGATTTTCAAAGATAGCGCTCCCTCTAACTCGACTGACCAAGAAGAATGTGAAGTTTGCATGGTCAGATGACTGTGAGAAGAGCTTCCAGGAGCTAAAAAGGAGACTGACCACGGCTCCGATACTGACCTTACATGAAGAAATGAGAATTTTACAGTTTGCACCAATGCCTCTCACAAAGGACTTAGATGTGTGCTTATGCAACGTGGGAAAGTCATCGCCTATGCCTCTAGACAATTGAAGTCGTATGAGCAGAAATATGCAACACACGATTTGGAGCTTGTGGCTATAGACCCTAAAAATTTGGAGACATTATCTCTATGGAGCCAAATTTGAGATGTCGACGGATCATAAAAGCCTCAAGTACTTGTTCTCCCAAAAAGAGTTGAACATGAGGCAAAGAAGATGGATGGACCTGTTAAACGATTATGATTGTACTATCCAATACCACCCGGGTAAAACTAATGAAGTAGCAGATGCTTTAAGCAGGAAACCCCTAGCATCAGTGGCTCATCTAATGATTCAAGAGATGAAGTTATTGAAAGAAATAGTGGATTGGCATCCAACTCCGCCATTTAATGGGGTGGTATGTATGGTTGCTAACATAAAGGTAGAACCCCAACTAGTTC